CCAAGGGCAGATGGTTCAAACGGGGCTGGACACTTCAAGAACTGATCGGTCTAATGAGCGGCGGGTGTGGAACAGGAGATTGGTGGTACGGATGCCGTGAGGAATAGTAGAGTTTCAAGTGTTTCCCGTCGTCCAATGACAAGGATTATCGGCTTCTGCTCGCCAGTTAACGTTCTAACATGGTGACCGTCCGTTTCAGCTTTTCCTAGATCAGAATCATCGGTCTTCGTCGAAATATCTCGCAAAACAATGGTTCACATATGCCGCTTAGTAATGTTTCGAATCTGGCAACGGTCATGGGTTTCTGGTGAGCCTCGCAAAGGAGTGGTCGACGGTTTCGGATCTTCGCATCTCCTAGATTTTGGTGTCCCTGGCCCTTGGACCAGTTCGGTTCATCTATCAGCATATGTATACTACATCATTTGGGCTGCGGATTTGTGGCGACGATTACCTCAAGACATTATTGAGTCCTCCACCTATTCGTGGTAAGACAGATTTTGTCTGTTCCGCGTATTGATACGTCAACTTGTATGGCCCTTGCTGCGGACAAATGCCCAATCATTCAGGGCCTTGAAAGAGGCCATCTTATTCTTGTGGGTACAACAAACGACATGGTCCAACAATAATTTCAGTGACGATCCCAACGTGCTTGTAGGCCACATGGAAACATGGAGAGAGCGGAAGACTTCTTAGCTGCGCAGATTGGCTAGCTCGAATTGCGAAACTCTACCTCGACACTGCTGCAAATAAGGCTGCTTACCATCTGCTCAAGCCACGAGTCCTACCTTTGCCAGGCTCAACACTCGTTAGAAGCATTTCTCCCTCCGAAATGGCGAATTTCGTCCTGGAGGGCCCTCCTATAAGCTGAACAAGCAGAGGATTACAGAGAGAAGAGAGACCCCCGAAGCAAGTTGCAACCAAGCCATGGAGGCGGCTGCATATCGCCCCAATTTAGAAATCCTGTAGAACCCATGGGGCAAATGCTGCCCATCAGTGTTGAAGGCGGTATTCAGGTGTTTCAGATGAGTTCTTGTAGCTTCCAGTGCCCCTTGGATATGACTGACTAAGGTCTCGGGAGTCAGGTCCGGTGGCAGCTCCCGTATGGTCAAAACCATTCCAGGAACTTCGCAAGTGTCAAACAGTCACTGGGGGGTGCCAAAATCCGCGCCATGTTCGATGCGAGTGTCTTAATAGATTCAGTAGTGATGCGGTTCTCACCACGAAGATCTTTCAGGTAATATCGTGTTCTGGCAATGTCAAGGCTGACTTTCTAGTTAGGATCTCCGTGTTTTTCTCGGGACGGTGCAAACACTGCGGCAGTGGTAATATTACCATCGATATCTGGATTAGCTAGTGCACCCTACGCACCTCTACTAGTCAAACCGTTGATGGTAGCAGTGAGATCCCGAAGCCGGCGCAGGGTGGAATCTTTTACACCGTGATTGCTCGCGATACGAACAATTTCCCCCCTGGAAGTCCTGCTTCGAAAGACGCTACTGAAACGGTATCGTCGTCTTCTTTGTTGTGGGATAGGGTAAAAGAGTCCAGGAACTTGCATTTCAGCTGGCGGTTCTCTCTGCGTTCGATATCGTTGAACTCTCGATCAAGGTCATATGCTGTTGGTTCACCTCTTACCGGATCGACCAGGTGAAAGACAACCGCAGCTTGAATGATTCGGCCCTGTGTATTGCCCGCAACATCGAATTGAGCCATGGGTCTGGCCCTTCATACATAATAGCTAATGATGTTGAACGTGCTCAAGGAACGCATGACTCATGATCAGTAATGCGGGGAAATCCCTACGCGTAAAGTTGTCCTTTTGTGTCCTAGAAACGCATCACTTGTGGCCCGTGCCTTGCTGGTTCAACCGATGTTTTGGTACATGCCAAGACAAGCCCTTCTCTCCCTGTAGCCACGCGTTACAGAAATCAGATTAAAGACTCCACATCAAATCTTTAACAGCACTCCCCTCTCGACACCGCGAAAGTTTTGAACTATCATTCTCCTACGATGTTCTACCAAGGCCATCACTTCTTGGGTGGTGAGAAACTGCTGCTTGGCCGCCTTGTCTCGCCTGGATCGCCGTCCACGGGCGCGTCGCCAAAGTGTCTACGCATGCACATTGTTAAGTGCCGGTAGGGATGCATAGCTGAGGGCCTGGCAGGATTGTTCTGACTCACATGCACTATCAACGGCAGATTACCGAGCTGCATCATGCACCTACCTTTTGCTGATCTGCCGCTAGCGTAACATCGTCGATTTTTCGTGGCGGTTCACTTCTCATCATTAATGATCGGAAAGATTGACGAGGTCGATTCCGAGCATTCCTCAATCACAATCCTCAGAAGCTATTTTTACAGTGACTGTGTCTAAATATAGCGCGACGCAAAAACGTTTGAATTGATGACGATTCCCCGTTTTGGGCTTCCTCAACTGTCAGGCCTTGGTGGAACCTGTTCCTTCTGCAACCTTTGGCCGATACGGCATATGCGACTTCGAAGTCCCGTCATCATGCATTCTACGCGGCTCGGTTTCCAAATCATGAATTGGTTTTGATTATTAATCGGCTCGACTGTCATCTGGACCTTTGCTGGGATCGTCAGCATCAAGCCTTGCCCTCCTCCAGGACCCATACACCTCAATTCCAACGCCGTCAATGACTCTCTTCTGGCTTCCGCATATCATATCCTGGTCATAGGGTCTGAATTGAGGCGCTACCAGATAAAACTGCCGTCAACACTGCATTCATACTGGAACAGACTTGGATCCAACGCGCCATCAATCGACCAGGGCAGGGCAGCGTTATCGAAAACCGCAAGATCTGAAAACGGATGGTGGGAATCGATGTGGTAACGGTCAGAATCTTTCAACACGGGCCAGTCTGGTTGAGCATGATGGGAACTGTCCCAGAGGTGTGTCGTTGGCGATAAGCTGCTTTCCCCAACTCGGTGGCCGTTGTACGAGTTTCCGTACGGTATTGGATTTCTTGGTAGTTGCCACGGTTGCAGAATGAGATCCTGGTTCGTTTTTGGAGTTTGCAACCGGCCTTGGAAAACATCAACAGGCCGGTAGTATGACACCAAGTGCCAAATTGCGCCAAAGTTGTCGCTGCTTTTCACAGTGATGGTTTTCTTGATCAGGCTTTTCGGGTTCGATGTGCCTAAAGTTCACCAGTGGGCCATAAAGCCGCTGGTGCCCAGCGTCCAAGCCATCCTTCACCAGCAGAGATGGTTTGTCAGTTTCCGTGTTGTGTGATTGATTTTGCGCAGCTGATCGCTCTCCGTATATGAGAAATTCACCCAAGACGCGACTCGAGCTCCAATGCCGCCCATCAGTTCAACGCTGAATGCCGGATGATTTTGCCTCGTAGATGAAAACGTGTCCGCTTTGTGCGACAGAAGGTCGTTCTGGCGAGATGGGTTGTCTTTTGACCACTTGCAGACTGCCTCGGAGGCATGCCTGGATCAGCATCGCGGCATCGTCGTGGGTGTCGACAAACCCGAAGTTTGAAGAAAGATCAGACTGCATCGTTAGGACTCAGGAAAATCTCGAGAGTGTGAGGAAGACATTGACGCCTGGAAAATGGGCAGTACTTATGAGCCACATACCTCATCCGAAAAGAACATAGTCGCCTCGGGTGGCTGCATGAGTGACACGTCGTGACTGATGTGACAGACCACATCGTTATCGAAATGGTGATACATTGTGGAACACAAATAGTAGAACAATACTTCTTCTTTAATTGTGGGAGGCGAATGGAGTTGATTGAAGAAACCCGAGAGTGCTTTCATGCTTGAAAGCGAGAATGAGACGTTGTATCAACCATGTTGGGCTAGCTGATACGTCGTACCAAGCAGGGTCACCACTGTTTGATGATCGGACGGTACAACGACCATCACAGCTCCTTGCATAGTGGGCAGATGACAAAGTTTGACACCATGCACATTTGTGACAGATCCCAAAGTTTAAAAACTTGTGCAACCGTAACTCCCCAATGGCAAATAGCGCGCAAACACTTGCTGCATTGAGGTACCAGCGATACATCGAGATGATGGCCTCTGCGAGTTCGGCATGGTTGGCTTTGTCGATGCAGCACGTGTCCACCCAGAAGTACCCTAGTTTGTCTTTCTGAGCTTGCTCTCCACAGAACTGAATCTTTTTGTACCCAGCCTTGCACTTGTCAGATCCATCTTTGAGCTCGTTGCAGGTCACTTCTTCATCATCTGAGCCCCACGTATGTAAAAGGATCGCGTACGGGGGATTTTGTCGACAAAGTCTTTGGTCAGGCTCAGCACACCATAAGCGTCGATTTTCAAAGGTCGCATCTTCTGAAACTCAGGTCTCGGAATACGTCGAAATCCACCATACAAAGAGGTGCGGCATCGCTCGCACTGCTGCTGAGTGATTATTGCCTGTTGCTCCAGCCAGAGTATAGGAGTTTCAAAAGGGTGTCGCACGTAGAGCGAAGTTTCAGTCAAGACGGGTTCCGCGGCCAAGTGATGACCTGCGAGTTTGGGTAAAAGGAGAACGATCGCGAGTCTGTTGTCGAGAGTCGTGGGTGATCCGAGCCGTGGTCATAGAAACCCAATTAAAGTCTGGGGAGAACAAGTTAAAGCGTGTTCGATTAGGCTGGAGAGCTGCCTAAAGTCAACCCGTACGCAAGCGCCCGCGCCACTAAACCAATGTTTCAACTCATCACGTGATCCTAGTCTCGAGCCAAAAAATCTGCGACGGGAATCTTTGGGCTAGCTACGGCACCATAAACCTTCCACATAGCCACATGGGACTGGCCCCCCACCATTCGGATTGATTCCCGCTTAGGATCTTCAGCTTCAGCCACCATTTCGAGCACGGTAGCGCGTGTGCCGGCCTCTGCAAAATATAAACATACGAAGCTCAAATCCGGCCAGGCATGTATGGGAGTTCCCTGTTTTTTGCAGCCTGCCCTCATTCTGATATGGACGATCAGCGTTGTGCAGATCAAAAGGACGAGGCCACTCTGGCCCAGCGTAGTTGAAGGCAGACCGCGAAGTCCTTCATACCGAGGTGTTCAGTGGGTTTCTTCCAGGTACACCTCTCATAGCTGTGGTACAGAGTCTACAGTTTTGCTCCAATCTGGCCAAAAATGGAAACTTTACAGAAATCTCATTACAGGAGACAAAGAAGCTTTGCCAAGAAAATACTGTGTCGTGACTCATTCGGTCAGCTAAACAGATACCGCATAGAGCCTTGGTGAGCACCGTTGGAAATATTTGCAATGTGTCCACAGGGGTAGGCAGGTTTCGGATGAGGTCCGAGACTTGGGATTGGGGGGCCGGTTGTGGTTTTTACATACGAGAGTGACGAGCTATCTATCATTTGTGGGGCCTGCACAGTCGATGATTGGGTCCCCCAGCCTCGGATGGGCATTATACCCCGTAGGTCTCCATTACATGGCCGCTTTGTGCAATGGAAGGCCGCTCTGACAGGGTTGGCCGCCTGCGGACGAAGTTTAGGCTCCCTTAGAGTCAAGCTTGAATCAGGATTACGGCGTCTTCACGGGTCTCGACGAACCCAAAATATGAAGGCTGGAAATCGTGTTAGACTGCATGTCGAGTAAATCATGATAATTTTGGTGGTGAAGAACGCACGGTTAGGAGCGCAGCTGCAGTGGTGAGAGTATTTATGAACACCGTCCATGATTCAACATGAGGTGGCCCTTTTCAATCGATCCAGACCCCCTTGCATGGGTCACACCGAGTCTCGGGTGGCTGCACAGCTGGCAACCCCTTACCGATGCGAAAGACCAGATCGTTGTCGACGTGAGACATTGTGGAACATGAATGATATCGCGATGTTCTTCTGCAATCCGCAACCGTGGGGAACGATGGGCTCAGATGAAGAAGTCCGAGGGTGTTTTTATGTTTGATATGCCAGCAACAGATGATGCAATCTTTATGGCACGCCTGATCGAAAATTGTCATCCCTGCATGGACTCTGGAAATCTGCCGCCTGTGCGCCTATATCAGGAGAGGTGACGACGAAACTATGGCCTTGAGTAAGATCATGCCATTTATCTCTTGGTTATACGTCGGTCTTGGTATCTCCGATTCTCAAACCACCCCTATATGATTCAGTCCCTGCCTTTGTCAAATGAGGGCAGCTTACTCGGACTTGGTCAATTGTCATGTTCGCTCGCTCGGCGGTGCTTCGAAGCTCGTCTTCAGTCGCATTTCTATTG